AAAGTGAAACTGGATTTTTGGTAAGAACTTTAATGTTTGATTATATGTAATACTCCTCTATCTATGATAAAATTTTATATTAAATCATAAATTTTTCGATCTATGTTTTTTCGCTTTTAGCCTTGTATAAAATTCTATTCAGTTTTCTTCATAAGTAATTTGAAAAAAAATAGCACTTGTTTGTTAGTTTTCATAATTTTTGTTAATTCACGAATTTAATTTCGTATATTTAATTCACGAGTTTAATTTCGTATATTTTGTTAATTCACGAATTTAATTTAGTTAATTTTCGAAAAAACAGAAAAATCCGTGACAAAAGATCTAAATCTGAGACAAATATTGCTTTTAGAAAAAGTGGGGACACAATGTGTAAATCCGGGACTTTCCCGGCCAAACCGGGACGTATGGTCACCTTAGTACTAAATGTTTTTTAATTTATAAATAACTTAATTTCTTGTTGGTTACGGGACCTCAATGAAACTAATCAGAATTGCACAAGGTCTTTTACGAACCCATCTATCACCAGCAGAATGTTTTCTCAAATTACACATCTAATTTATCTAATTACAAAATATTTTATAATTACTTACTCTTACATGATAAATTCGACTTGGCGTGATTTGTTCGATTTCATGTTTCGCATGTCTGCGAATTGAGCAATCTGTTATTTGCTCTCACCAAAAAGATTCTGAAAATAAAAAAGAAATTGCATAAGATACTTATTGTGTATTACTATTTCTCGAGATGTTTATGAAATATATGCAATTGGTCTATACTTATTTTTGAATTAATTCAGAGTTTTATATTATAATTGCATTATAATTATTTTAAAACTGCTGAATGATGAACACATACTTAGTGTTCGAAACGTATATAATAATTTAATTTTAATACCTGTTTTTTTATTTTCGACAAGTTGGCTGCAATAATACAGAGATTATATATATATATATATATATATATATATATATATATATATTATATATTAAAAGCTAAAACTTTCAGAAATTGTTTTTTATCGTCATATTAAGGACGTGAAATGTTCATTCAATTCGAAATGTTCATATATAAGCTAAAA